CCAAACCAAACCGAGCCGGTCGTGCCAATGGGCACTGGATCTAAGTCGTTGAATCGTTTCGAGGAAAATGAAAAAGAAAGCAACAAAAAAACTCCCAACAAATAAAAAAAATACCGAGCTGAACTGTAAAAGGTCATACCTGTGCTTTAAACTCACTCACACATTTCATTCAAATACTGTACTGTGTTGTTTCCCTAGAAGGGTGTCACTGAGATTGTCATTTTTGTAAGCTAAATTTTAATCTGATTTGGACCCTTCATTATTCTGACCCCTGTCAATTAAAGTTTGTATAAAATACCTCGTCCGTCCACATCAGCATCATGAATCCATTGAGAACAAACTTCTGAGTCTTGTCATCCATTTCCACAATGGCAATGAGATCAAAGGCGATGCTGACATTGAGGACCTGTCGAATATCAAAAACATTTTACTGCTGGAAGAGAACTTAACAGTTTCGTGTACGGTATCATGATGAAGTCAGGCCCTCGTCAAATTAAAGAAATCTAAGAAACCGAAATTTTTCTGCTCGTTCGGCAATTTTTATCGAGCTTTTTTAAAAGTCCAACACCTTCTATGTCCATCTGATGGCACTTTTCTGTGTGGATCATACTGGTAAACTTTGATTAAAGTCACACAAAAAATGTAAATAGTTTCTAAGGACTCTCAAGTTTTGAAAGTCAACAAACTTTGGCAACGCATTGGCATTTTCTAAAGACATTTGTTTCAGTAATCTTGTATGTAGTAACGATAAGAATAACGGCGCCCATATCTAAGTTGGGATAAACAAGAAAAGGCACACAGCATGAAGTGGTAGATGTTTTGCGTCCCCACTGACACAATTTTGATCCCTTAGGGGGAAGGGGGGGGGGGTAACCATGCTTGTCAATGCCAGCTCAGCAGTTAGACCGAGATACTCGGAGATAATTGTTCACACTCTGGATTCGAACGTGGGTGTCCCTTGCTTGCGACGCAAAGCGCCTGACCGCCCCCACATCAACACCTGAGCGTAAATTGTAAAGGTCGTACAGCCCCCCTGCTCTCTTTTTTAAAATAGAACTGTAATCACATAATGTTCATGTCAGGAAGCAATGAGGTGTATGGACTTCTGAATGGAAAATTGATTTCTAGGCCAGCCCAAAAGACAGCCAGCTAGCCAAGAAGCAGTTTAAAGCGAATGGAGAATCTCATTTTTTGGTTTGTTCCAGGGGGAGGCAATGATGACACTGATGAACAATAAAGATTGAAGCTTTAATCTTGGCTTTACATCAATTTTAAGCTTTGTTTAGAAGAAAACATAAAGAGCGGAAAATATCGAAAAGGAAGGAGCTCATAAAGATAATAAAATTTCGATTAATTTTTTTTGAGGAATGGCGAGAGAAGCAAAATTTAATATAATGTGGAGAATGCCACGAGAAAAAGGGGAGATGTGAGTGGCAGACTGGAGTAACGTGCATGTGTATGATCATAAGAATGAATATGAGTGTAAATGTGTGTGCATGTGTGTGCGTGTGTGTGTGTGTGTGTGTGTGT